CTGGTCCACGTTCCCCATGTGGGTTTGCACTGCCGGCCATTCTGCCCATTTCTTGGTTCAACATGCCATGTTCTCCCCGCCTTGGTCTTTTGGCCGCTATTCTTTTATACAGCTGGCTCTCATCTCGTCCTGCTTCATCTTTCTGACTCACCCTTTGCATCTCAGCTCAAATTGCTTGTTCAAGGACGCCCCTCTGACCTCCCAGACTAGCTTAGGTTTTCTGGTGAAGGTGTCCATACATCCGATCTCTTTTTCATTGTGACATTGTCACACTTGTCGTTACCTGTATACGACCAATTTCAAACTAGAATGTAAGCTATGGGAAAGCAGGGACCACTGCATCACGTTCACTGCTGGGTCCCGGCATCTAGCTCAGCCCCTGGAGTATGATGGCGCTCTACAGAATACCTGTTGACTCCGAGGTATGCTGGCAGGTATTATTAGAAACCTCTCACAGATGAAGAAACCAAGAACTCAGACAGTGTGAGTGACAGACTCATGGTTGGACAGTCAGGGGAGTCTCAGGAGCTAGGACTTGCATCTTGACCTTCTGGCTTGAAACAAAGTGGTGCTTGCAGGGAAAAACCCCCAAGTCTTAGTTCATTATGGTTGGACTCTCATTCATTTCATCTACAAATAAATGCATAGAAATATTGAAGACTAGCTACAATGTCACGGAAGCACTGAGGAGCTGGGCCTTTCTTTAAGTGACAACCCTCTGTCTTCAGTCCCAAGCAAGGTCCTTTCTCAGCACTCCCATCTTACTGATAACATGAGTCCCCAGGATTTCTCCTGCTTCCCCCAGAGCCCAGCGGTTCTTCACTGTGAGGCCCTCCCTTGACCCAGCCCAGTGATTTTCAATCTCTTTCATCTCCCAGCACATATAAACCAATTACTAAAATTCTGTAGTGCACCAAAAAGTATATTGTATTTTTTGCCAATCTGACAAAATTTCATTCACGCCAGATGGCTATTGTTGCACTGGCTGTTGTCATTTTTTAAAAAAATAGACAGTCTAAAGGAAAAGAGGTAAAAGCCCCTGACTAAACAGTCAGGTACTGCGTGTTTTAAAAATTCTTGTGGCGCATCAGTGGAAAAAGCTCTGGCCTACACTGACTTTCTGAGGGGCATAAGGGCTCTGCACCCCACCCCTCGATTCCACCCCCTGCTGTTTCCGATGCCAGCACACAGTCTTCTTTCTCCTCTTTGTTTTTTGAGGGTTTTTACTGTTTGGTGGAAATAGAGTCACACACAAATGCAGACAAACACTGAGGAGGTAAATAAAGCTACAAGAAATCTGAAAAATCTCCAGTAGTAATTGTCCCTGTTAATTCACATTTGAGGGGTCTGTCCTGGATGCCCCCATGTCTACTCAGAGGCATACGCAGCTGATGGAGGAAGGCCAGGGTCAGGCATAGTGCCACCCAAGGCCACGTTCATAGAAGGCTTTATAATGCAACTCAAGGCCAAAAATGAGAGAGACATTTTTAACATATGAGAAAGTCCAAGAATTAAGTTAACAAGGAGGACATATTGATAAGGAACTTAAGAGTTGGAAATTTTTAGTTTAAGTAATAAGCTAATGAGCTTAGTAGTCAACGCATGTAAAAGTTTTTGTTCTATGACCCACCCTGACTCTAGGAGACCATAGCAGACTCTAGGAGACCACAGAAGTTCCCCCTTTGTTCCTCTGAAGGACCGAAAGCAACTCAAGATGATAGCTGAGCCATTGTAGTACTGCAGGGTGAGATGACCACTGCCCAGGACAAGAATGCTGAAATCATTTTTTAATTCAATCAACATTTCCCTGAACTTCAAAACCCCTCACCACACTTTGTCTATTCCCTGCTACAAAAACCTTGGCCTGGAAAGAAAAGGGAAGATGGTTTGTTAGGGTATGAACCCGCCATCTTCTCAGATCACCGGCCATCTGAATAAAGCACCCATAAACATCCAATCCCTGTCTCTGCTTATTGGATTTGGTAGTGACAAGCAGCCCAAACTCTGGTGTCTTTTCCAGTTTCAATATGGACCTAGTGGGTGCTAATGCAGACTAACTGGAGACATGACACCTATAGTGACAGCCATAGTGGAGAGGGGATTATGTGTGGAGATGGCCTAGTTAGAAAAATAGCAACATTAACTTGTCGTGGGCTTCCCTCTCCTCAGAAAGTGGCAACAGATACTTGTTCCAGATCAAAGATAAGGAGTAAAGCCCAGGAGGGGCAAGGGAGAAGAATCCAAGCGCATGGAATCTTTTACAGAACTGTATTTTCATAGCTTTCTTCCCATCTTCTCTTCCTAGATTTCCTTGGAGAAGCTGGTAGACTGCACCATCACTGGCATAGATCTTTAAGTTTCCCTGTATCTTGAGATCTCTATCTTATTGATTTCCATGGGCCTTCTTTTACTTACCAGATTTTCATGCAAGATGACTGTTGGGGTAAAATAGGAGGAGTCAACCAGTAAGTGGTTCTGAGAGCCCAGATCTAAGTTTCATTTTCAAAGCAATAAGAGAGTCCCTTCTCTTTTAAATCTCTCTGTAGTATGCAGGAAAAGTAAAACTAGGCCACCTCTGACACAAAATACTTGAGGTAAAGAGATGGAAGTGGGAGAGATATATCAATGTTCATTGGAATATCTTTTGCTTGCTTAAACAATGGGGCCCTGTGCTGTAGCCCACATCCCTAAAAAACGTGATACCCAGAAAATGTTCTATTCAAGTGGACCAGTGACTGGAGGAGTGTCGAGTACAAAAAGAAAATGGGAAGCTGTATGCCCCTCCTACACATAGGGGGAACCTTGCCTTTATCTTGTCTCCCCACAGCCTAGTTTAGGGCTTAGCATGAGACAGTCTGTCAGTGAGAGTCTGTTAAACTGGGATGCACTTTGGAAATAAAGAGAGCAATCCCAGGCAGGTTGAGTGACTGCTGGGAGTGGCCTTTAGGAACTGTCTGCACAGAAGAGGATTAAGAATAGACTAGGGGAGTCGTGGAGGTGCGTTCATGAAAGGGGGATGGGAGTTTTGGGAGACTTGCGTGAGCAGGAAACTAGGGGAGGATGACCACTTTCCTCAGTGACAGAACAGATGGGGCAAAGGACTGTTTGCACTGTGCAGAAGAATGGAATTAAGAAGCCAATCTATTGTCACGCTATAAAATTTGAACTTTAAACAACTCTATCAAAGCAGTTCAGTAGTGAAACTGTGTACTTCTGGGGATGCTCACCCAGAAGTACACTTGTCTGAGTATGTTTTAATCAGACAAGAGCCCATCACAGAGGAATACCTAGGAAAGTAGACAGAGAAAGCTACGCTAGGAAACAGTGGGGCCTTGGAAAAGAAATCCTTGTACTTGGCAGTGCCCAGGGAAAATCTACTGGCTATAACTCTTCTGCTGGGGGTGCCATCCTGGGCATCATTCCCAACTTTGTTTCAAAGCAACAAGAGAATCTCTTCCTGAGAATGTTTCTTGGCGATAATTTGCAAGCCTGAAATCAGAAAACAAACAGATCTTAATCTACTTTAATTCCACTTTGGAAAGTGTGTAGGATGTGCTCAGACAAAAACCAAACCAGAGCAGACCTTGACTGGCTATAAAAACAATACTTATCTTGGAGAGTTGACCTCGTAGCATTATTCTTATAGGCCTTATAAGAGTTTTTTTATTTAAATATTTCAAAAATTTAAACATATCCCTGTAGATATTGAAAAACACTGACTATGTTATGATCACAGCTTTTAATAAGATTTTAGCACCTTGAGCCATTTGGTCCTGCACCCCCATTTCATTATACAGAGACAAAAGAAAGGCTGGGTTATTTTTCTCTGTGGTTAGTGGACACTTGGGGGTTCTGAGAAGAGTTGGGAACGATCCATGAAGAATGATGCTTGGGCAGCTTCCCAGAAGAAAGTTAAGGGCATCAGAAGGAGTGGCAGGCCCTGACAGTTGAAAAGAAAACAACGAGGTTTGGGAAAAGAAATGTGAACAATGTCAAGGAAGAGGTACCTTGACTTCATTCATTCCTTCAACAAGTATTTTAAACAATTCGGTGAGTATGACACTGAGCTGAGAACTATTAGGGGTGGGGGTAGAGAGAGGACAGGGAAGGAAACAGAAAGTAAGTTTAAAACAGTCTGATATCAAGAGGTTACAATTTAATAAGAAAGGACAACCAAATATGCAAGATGGTATAGTATTCTGTTTAAAGACGAACTAAAAAATGTGAAAGATATGGAACAGTAAAATCTAAAGCAAACCAATCATCAGTGAATCAAATTGACATCAAATTGACTTCTTTCTATGCCAACAAGCCTTGACCATTCAATCCCACAATTAGCTCTGAAGTGCGTATCCTAGACCCATGTGGTAGACATCACACAGCTGAACAAATGTAGTCTCTGTTCTCACAAAACTTGCTATCTAGGGTGGAAATAAAATGGGGACGGAATAATGAAAAGGCGAAAGATTTGTGTTCTGAAGAGAAAGCAGAGTATGGGGATGGAGTAGGGAAAGGGCACCATGGAGCACATGGTCAGGTGGCAGTGCTGTGCACCCAGACAGAAGGACTCCGTCCTGTTGAGGGGAAGGAGGGACATCTGCATGGAAACTGTGGTGTTTCAGAGGGACCTTGAATGCGGAGAACTTTGAGAGACAGAGATGAAGATCGACCTGTCGGGAAAAGAGGGCCTTTTCCGCCAAGCAGAGGGGGTGGTGGAAGAAGACTGGAAAGGTAGGATGGAGGCCGCCCTTCGACGCCAGACTGGGGAGGTGTAACGTGGTTAGAGGGAAAGGGGAAGACACTGAAGATTTTCAAACGTGGGTTACAGAGGTGGGAGGTAATAGGATTCAGCCAGGACTTTAAGAGATCATTTACCAACTACACGTGACACAGATCGTGGGGAAGATGGAACGAATGAGGAGAGAAATTTAAAAATATTTTCAATCAGGTGCATGAGAGTTAATAGAACCAAATTTAATTTTTGTATTGCTGAGGTTTAGTTTTGACTGCAAGTAATGGAAAATCCCCCAAAAGACAGGCCAACAGAAAGTAAGAGGTTATTTTTGTCTTGTGTGGAGGTCCAGGTAGGCAGTGCAGGGTTGGTATGGCATCTCTGCAGAGTGCTGAAGGCCTCGGCCTTCTTTGGCCCCTGGCTCCGTCATCTCTAGGAGGGGCCTGCCTGCTCGTGGCCCAGGACGGCCGCATGTGGGTTATAGCCTCGAGACAGAGGAAGGGACAAAAGAGATGAAGGCAGGGAGCAGACACTGGGTGTCTTTTAAGGCGAGTTCCCAGAGGCTTCCACATGATACTTCTGCTCCCACCTCGTTAGTCAGAACTCAGCAACAGGGCCAGGTCGAGCAAGGGAAGCCAGCAAATAAGGTGTGTTTTCTGGGTATCCATATTTCCAGCTGAAAAAACAGGAGTTCTGTTACTGCAATAGTGTTATAAAATTTTTTTAAAGCAAGCTAAGAGGTTGTCACTTCATAATAGTTCAAAATTATTCACCAGGTCTTAATGAAAAGGATTTTTAACATAAAGATTTCATCCTAGAATCTTATCTTAAAGCTGAGACAAAGTAATGCTCCTGTTCTTAGATAAGAACAAGAGCTGAATTTGACTCCTTGGCCAAGGCTTTCTGATGCGTTGAGACGATTGGTTTGTCCAGGTCTTCATGACCCTACCTTAGTAACCCTCCCTCTGAGTTGTTCATAAAAGAAAATTAAATCCACTATCATCATTATGCTATTAAATTCAGTGAATTGTATGCCAGCAATGTGAGCCTTAGGAAATCTCTGTCCTCACCCTACAGAAATACAGCTGTGCAGTACTCTTCACGCTCCATCCCCCTGGCTCTGAGCTCCAGCAGCCCTTGATTCACTTGGCTCCATAACTCATCTGACGCATCGCTCCTCTCTCCCATCCTCCACGCCCTCCGATGCCCAAAGACTCTCCCAAGGGCATTGCCAACCACACAAAACTGAGCTCAGCTCATAACAGATTGTTCTCCTTTGCTCACTGCCTTAACACAACCCCTTGGCCTTGCCTCCCAGATCTGCCCAAATCTTACTCACCCTACTGACTCAACCAGACTTCCCTCTGGACATTGCTGGTGCGTCCTGGTATTTGGGGGGCAATATTATAGGTGTTCTGTGCTCTCCTCCTTCACTCAGTGCCCTTCGCCTCTGTGGCCATCACTAGGTGATTAGCAGTCCCCTCATTTAAGTAATGTAGTGGGCTCAGTGGTTTAAACAAAAGCGGTTTTCCAGTGGGAATGTTAGGAACTTCAGAGAAGTAACATATCTGTGTTTAAGTGTATTAAATATATATTTATAGTGGTAAATATATTTATTGTTAACATGTGAAAATAAGCCGAACAAGGTACCAACTAGAAAAATAATTTAAAGTATTTAACTATAAACAAACCATTCTTTCTTAAAAACAAAATTGTAGTAAGCCCATGTAATGGGAGATCTACCCTCCTGAGAAATTTTTTAGTGCACAACATAGTATTGTCAGCTGTAGGCACAGTGTCGTACAGCGGATTCCTAGACGTCATTTATCCTGCCCAGCTGAAACTTGGTACCCAGGGAGCAGCAGCTCACCGTTTCCCCCTGCCCTCCACCCCGCCCCAGCCCTTGGCAACCAGCATCTGCTCTCTCCTTTGGTTATTCTAGATATCGCATATGAATGGAATCAGGCGGTATTTGTCCTTCTCTACCCACTTATTCCACTAGGCATGATGTCCTCACGGTACACCCACATTGTTGCATGTGACAGGATTTTTCTCCCAATTTTTTAAGGCTGAATAATACTCTATTGCATATATAGCCATTATTTCTTTCTTAATTTGCTGAGATAAATCTCTCTGAGCTCTCTGCTCTATCAGTCCATTTCCACCTATTTAATCCAGGGAGGTTTCAGAGTTTATTGTCCCATTACTACTACTTTTCTATTGCACTGTTACTGTCTATATCATTAGTTAATTAATTAATTAACCCCTTATCCAGTGCCACATCTGGGTGCTGGAGACAGAGAAAGCAGTTTCGGTTTTCACAGAGCTTACATTCCAGAGAAACAGACAATTTTGTTTTTGTTTCTCAGGGGGACATTCTGCATTGTCTGGAGACATTTTTTGTCACCACGACTGAGGAGGGCATCACTATCATCCAGGTAGCAGAGGCCCCATTTCTCGCCTCTCCCTGTTCCACACCCATGCCAGCCAGCTGCGGTTTTGCACAGAACTATGTTGTCACCCCTCCACCTCAGAACTCCTTTGGCTGGCGGGGGACCTGGTTATATTTAGTCTCAGTTCCTCTGTATATCTCAGCACCAACTGGCCAAACATTTCCATTATGGGAGCGACCACTTCCCACGGGACCCTTCCTTGCCCTTTGATGTGCTCCCAGAGTGGCTGTGTCAGCACGGGGCGCTGGTGCCATCTTGAATTGTGGTCAGACCCATTTACTGGACCCCCTGGCCCTGTTCTCATTTGTCTACTTGAGAAAGAATTCTTGAAATGGCCCTAATTTTGCCTGTTATCCGCACTGCTCTCCCCGCGTGCCTCAACACCCTGCTTCCCTGTGAGGAGGTAGACTTCCAAGGCCCCTTCCTCGGGGCCCCAGCTCCCTTCTCAGCTCCCAAGACCTTAGCCTCCTCCCAGCACTGCCCAGCCCTCCTCAGCATCTCTGGAGCTGCCCAGCCAGACCCAGCTGGACTGGCCTCCTTTCTGTGGGCAGAAGCAACACTCAGGTCAGGTGGTCGTTTGGGTGGAGTCACATCTAACTCTTTCTAGTTGGAGTCTAAAGTCAATTTGTAAGGCAAATTACCTTAGAAAATTCCCTGAATCTTTAGGAGGCCTCAGGAAACAGATAAAATCAACTCCTTTTGTCATTAGCAAGCTCATGCAGTTGACTTTGTGAGAATTTCATGTGTATATAATATAGGAATCCCTGGTATCTTTTTTGATTTAGAAATTTTGGTGTGATGTCTAAAAATTATTTTTGCTTGTCTTTTCTTGTTTTGCTGAAGATACTGTGGGCCAATTTCTAGCCTAGAAATTAATATGTTTGTTTTACTAGTCCTGCCTTTTTATTTTTATTTCATTTTTTTCTTTTCTCTGCTTTGATTGGTTATTTTCTGCTACCTTGTGTTTGAAATTGCTGATTTGATCCTCTGCTTCACCTAATCTGTTGATTTATTTTAGTGTATTCCTCATTTACTTTTTTTCTTTGATTGATTATAGAGAAAGGTGAAGGGAGGGAGAAAGAAAAGAGAAAAATATTGATGCAGAAAAAAAAGAAATATTGATGTGAGAGACACACATCGATCAGTTGCCTCCTGCAAAGTGCCCCTCCAGGGACCAAACCTGAAGCCCAGGCATGTGGCCTGACTGGGAATCTGACCCTTTGGTTTGCAGCATTCCAACTGAGCCACACCAGCCAGGGCTTTTCTTCATTTCTTATTGGTCTTTTTAATAGTTTCTATATCCTTTTTTGTGCTATTGAATTTCTCACTAATTCTCTGAGCCTCCTTAAAACCAGTTTTGAGCTCTGCACCTGGTAGTTTGCTTGCCTTTATTTCATTTGGCTTTTTTTCTAGAGATTTCTCTTGTTCTTTCATTAGGTGCATTGTTTTTTTTTTCTCCTCATTTTGGTTGTCTCTCTGTATTAGGTAAATCTGCTATGTCTCCCAGTCTTGGTATGGTAGCCATATGCAGTCTGTGTCCTGCGCAAGCCAGTGGCACTGTCTCCCTGATCCCCTGAGCTAGGTGCTCTAAGAGTATCCCTTTGTTTGTGCCCTCCTGTTGTAGTTGAGATTTCATTGCTGTTTGCATGCCAGTAGGTTTGGTTGATCCTTAGGCTGGCTGGTGTGAGGACTGGGCACAGTCACAGTCTAGGAGCTGCTGAGTGGGGGCTGACCCCATGAAGCAGAGTTTGCCCAAGGAGAACCTGGTGCCTGCTGAAGCCTCCCTTTGGGGGTGCTGCCTGCAGAGGTGGTCAGGTCATGCTTTCTTGTGGTCTGAAGCCAGCCACCAGGTGTGTTGGTTTTGCTGCCTCTTGGGAGGGAGTTCAGTGTAGGTCAATATCAGACACTGTCTGTGACCAGCCCTGGGCAACCTGTTAGGAGCTACAGAGCAATCCACTGTTGGTAGCTGCCTGTGATGGGCCTAGGTGTATGCAGGAGGGGACAAGCTGTATACTGGAGCCAGGTGCCTCCACTGCCCTGCCTGGGTCAGGTCAGCAAATGGCCTAAGACACCTTGAACCTTCCATCACCTCCTGACTGTCATTTAGGCTCAGCCACTGAAAGAGTCTGAGTAATTAGGAAACTGGATTGAGGCAAGTACTCAGGTAGGTACCAGGTCCTTACCAATGGCATTCATGATGTTAATATATATTCAAACTCACCACTAACATTGGGTCTGAGGCTACTCAGCAGAGGTATAAGGTTGTATTCACTCCTGCTTTTTATTAAATGCCCATCACTCTCTCTCTTTGCCCTTTTTTACTCCTGTCAATTAAGTATTTAACTAAAAGGGACTTGTGAGAAGAATTAACTACTTGTGTATATTCTATTTAATATTCAATTTGTTAAAGTTGAACATTTTATTTGTTTTTTAAAGTCTTCAAACGTAACCTATAAATTTAGTTATTATATTTGTAAATATAACAATTTTATATGAAAATGAAAATTATTGCTTTGTGTTGTTTAATTTGTGTTTAATTAACTTATAAATTTAAAAAGATTAAAATTTCTCAAACAATTAATCTCCTTTACATATGTAATTAAGTTTCCTAAAGTATTTTCATCTACCCTTACCAATTTAATATATTTGATTTGCTGAAATATTTCAAATGCCTGGAGGGGCAACATAAAACTAGCAAGTACAACCTTTCTGTATCCCAATTACCTCTTCTAAACCTAATAAATCTAACACACACATATAATACATTGGCTTCTTTTAAAATTTAAACACAATTTATGAATATAGTTAATCATTTTACAACTTTCAAATGGAAATCATACATTGGGTACCAGTTTATCATTTCAAAACAAAATCACAAGGCTAATTTGTTAGAGTCTCTTAAAATTTTTAAACTCCTTAAATAGCAGATACAAATGGATCATCACAAAGGTTCTAAAACCCCCAGAACTTAAAACGAAAGAATAATACCGTGAGTTTGATTGGCTTCACCATTCCCAGACTTTTTCCACACCTTTTCAGTAGCAGCGAAGTCACTTCCAACAGCCCTGGAAGCCAGAGTCATTTGGGACTGCAGTGCAGGTTCTCAGTGAGATACAGGAAACTTCCCCACGATGATTCCATCTGAGCTGCTTTTCATAGTAAAGTGGTTCTGCCTGTGCTGTCACCAGAAGAGGAGTGGGTCATGGTGCCCCCATAGTGCCTTTCAGATTTCACCCTTCCCTATTTTTATCATCATAGCCTCTTTCCCTTTTGAACACATGATTTGAGTAGATGGAATTCTTCAGTCCCCCTTGGGGTGTAGCCTACCTTTTCACCAGTGATTAGAGTTAACTGAATTTTCCATCCTTCTTCAGGTTATAAAACTCTGTATCTTTTACTTCATTATCTGTTTCACTGTGGCAGAGATTGCCTAGGTCTTCATTCACCCTTTTCCTCCTTCTTTCTGGGCACACAGTTGGACTTCATTTCCCAGCTCCCTTTGCAGTTAGGTATGGCCCTGTGGCTGACTTTCCCCACTAAAACCTCTTGGCCCATGAAACCTCAGACTCTATCCTCCATGATCTTTCCTCTTCTTCAGGCTTGTTACAGAGCAGCAGGCAGTCCTGGAAGCTGTATATTAAAGATGAGAACCATGAGTTGGAAGGAATCTGGGTTGGAGGAGATCAATGTGTTGATCAGGAACATCCATTTTGAACTTGACCTGTGTGAAAAATGAAGTTTGACTGTGATGTTAAAGAAATTATATACTTTTATAATTGTTATCTTAATTAAAATGCCCATTAACCTTTATGTATTGTCATTCCTAAAGTTAAAGCAATAGATAAGCTTTAAAAATTCATATACTGTTAGTTAATACTGCATATCCCGAGTCAATGCTGGAAATCACAAGTGGACACGTCATTCTTGGCCATTATATGAAAACTTGACATAATTCTTTCCTTCTCTAATAAGAACTGGTGTTGTGAAACTTGTGCAGCTTCTAGGTTTTTTTTTTTAAAGCACCTAATAAAAACAAAAATGAACATCTTATTTACAGTTAAATCAGCTACAATATTCGTGAGATAAAAATAAAGCTATTGCTCAGCTATAAATATTCTCAGTACTGTGATCAAACATAACATTTCCCCCAAGGGTCCAAATAAACAGGAAACTACATGATACAATGGACAATATCTTTAACGGACAAAACAATCTGCCAGCTACTCAGACTCTCTGAAACAGATCACAGGCACATATGCTAGGGATTAATTTGAAAATGATTGAAAGTAGAGATTGTTTTTTTTCTAAAAATACGTATTTCTTTATAATTTAAAGGTATATTATTGCAACAAAAAATAATAATAAGGCTCCCACTTTTTTCCTACCCTGGTCATTTCACAGTCTGCTTTTGGCACTTGAAGACGCTGAAAGGTCGTGTGGGTTTCTCAGGGCAGTGTCTTCATGCAGAAACAGGCCACCACTGCACAACTTGGCACTTTCAGACCCAGTTACAAGTTCCCTTTGTCGTTCTCCCACACCAACTAGTTCTGCGAGGAGTTGTTTGCAACTGCCCCGGGACACGTGTTTCTCTAAAAGGAGTGACACACATTAGATTTTGAAATTGAACCTAGTCATGCATGTATTTCTTTCTAAATGGATATTGCAAATGTTTCCCCCTCCAACTGACAACTTAACCCTTTATTAAATTTCCATGAAAAGGACCTGTGGGAATAATAAAAACAGACTCTAGATGGTACTGAAATACACAGGAGAGTGAAAAGAGGGAAAAAGAGGGTAATACTTCTACTCTAATACTTCTATTAGGTAGAAGTATTAGAGTAAATGTTAATAAAGCAGAGGATGGGTATATAATAAAGTTCTATCCATAAATTATTTATAGTAGTTGGGGCATTCAAGTAGCAAAAACCTTACTGAAAGTGACTTAAACAAATAGAGGTTTATATTTCTTATAGGACATGAAAGCTGGAAGAAAGCAGGTCCTGGTGGTGACTCACGGACTGTGACGTGATGTCAGTGCTAATGTCTCCGCAGTTCTCCTGACCTTCCCTTACACAGCAAGATGGCCGCTCCAAAGGGTCCCAGGAAGGAGAAAGGGAGAAACCGGTCATGACAGCGGCAGTTTCTCTTGTATCAGAAAAACAAAAGCTTTCTATGTGTAACCACGTCCCATGGCATCTCCTAGATGCAGTGGAGGCTGAGAAAGTGAGTGACTAGTGGAGACAGGCGAGAGAGAGTGGGGAGAGCACACGCGTGTCAGCCAAACGTGTGCTGTGGCCTGTGGTACTCATGCCTTGTTGATCTCCTCACAACAGATTCCTGAAGACAAACCATGCTACAGGACATGCTTTTCTTTGTCCATGTTCATATAAGAACCGTGAGCCACATTTCATGTTTTAGAGAAAAAAAGTGCTGAACTTTCTTATGAATCATGTCCTGCCGTCAAGGAGTGACCACCCATGAGCTCATCTCCTTCGCCCCTGCCTCAATCACAGCTAAATCCTACCTAAACTCTAAGAAAACAGGCCGAATAACCCAGGAACTTGGGTGAAGAAAAACTTCCAGGTTTCTGAACATTTCATCTATTCCAAGGAAACACTTTAACAATCAGCTAGCAAAGAAGTTTCTAGACAGTCATAGCTGTAAGAAAGAAATCACAAAAACAAAAAATGTTGAATGCCCAGTATAACCTGTTAGAAAATATCTGAGCTGTCATCTTCTCCTTTTATACTGGGATAAGTCATCAATATGCCCGGAATGGATCCAATGGGATCATTGCTTTCCTAGTTACAGAATCTTCACATTTGGGGGATCATTTGCAGTACAAGAAAACAGCCACTTCCTGCTGAAAAAGAGCAATGGCAGCCTGTCCTCCCACCTCACTCCACCCACATGGGCCCAAGCTCTGAGACAGAGCAGCAAATTATATTTAGCAGTAGCTTAACCGGGTCTGGTTTACCTCCGACTCCACACTGTGCATGCAACAACTAAGTGACCTGTGCTTGAGAAGAGTGGACTTGGCAGTTCTGGGCCACATTCAGTTACAATTAGCAGAACGTCTAGCAGAACTTCTCCTCTGTGGTATCTTATATTAAAGCGAAGGAATTAATTACAGAACAGCCACTTGCCTGACTGCACCTCTGAGTTGCATTACCGCTGAAGACTGGACAAGGTGTTTATAATATCCAGGCTGAGTTTGAAAGCATGCCCTGTTAGGGGGCCTCTTGAGCTAAATAGAAGAAAGAGAGTACATACAGAGAGGGAGAAAATTAGGTCCACATGGTGAGTTGTGTACAATGAAATTGCCTCCCAGAAAAGGGCTGCATGCTCCCCGATTCAGGTAATGTTCTACCTCCAAGAACGATCTTCAAAGGGAAAGACTTAAGGATCTCTCAGCCTAGAATCTGCTTTAAAAAGCCTGTATATGGAGCCGTAAGAAGGAACGAGACACTGACACAGCCTACGACATGGGTGAACCTTAAAGACGTCACGCTCGGTGAACGAAGCCAGACAAAAGACCACATATCATATGATTCCATTTATACGAAATATCCACAATAGACAAATCCATAGAAACTGCAAGTGGATTTGTGGTCGCTACGGGCTGGGGAAAGTGGGGAGTAACTGCTGGCGCAGGGTTTCTTTTTGGGGTGATAGAAATGTTCTAAAATTAAAAAGTGGCGGCAGCTGCACAGCATAGCGACTATACTGTAAACCACTAAAGTGTATGGTTTAAAGTGGTAACTCAAATGTCATGTGATGTATATCTCAATTTTTTAATGCTAAAAAAGCCCACATATGAGAGGATTATAATAATTGAAAAAATAATGAATAAGGATATTAAAGGATTTTTATATGCCTAACTAACCACTTTGTTTTACCAACTTGCATGGTAAAACACTTTGGGCTGTATAAAAATACTAACAAATAAATAAACAAAGAAAAGACACCACCCTCTTGGCGGTTGCAGCCCAGCTGGTGACCTGGTGGAGTGCTGGGTTTCCTCACCAGCCCACGTGGCAGGATTCCTCCGCGTCAGGTACAAACCACACTAGACACAGTTAGGACCTGATTCCAAATGCCCTTCCTGGTCTGGCCCCCTGCCCTGATCTTCTACTCGCTTTTCCCCTGTCTTTGCTAGGACTTCCCTGCATCCGGGACTTTCCTCACACTTGGAACGACCTCCACACTCTCCATCAAATTCCTCCTTGTTCTCCAAGCTTACCTCCTCCTCCTCTCAGAAGCCTGCTCATCCCTGCCATCGAAGCTCCCCCAGCATGATATTTATCTCTCCATTTTAAAATTCTGGTTTGTATTATAGACTCATTTCGCATGTATTTACTTCTTTCTCACCTGATCATAAAGTCAGTGGTTCCAGAATTTACATTTAATTCATATCTCTAAACGTGGCATGGACTAATAGAGAGCTTGTCTGCTGTAGGTGCTTCCAATCTACTGGTTGAACAGAAATGAAGGGATAAGTGAATATCTGAAGGCAAAAAAATGGAGAACCATGTGCAACACAGAAGGCCTGAGAGACTTCTCCCCCCATGTGTAGGCAGGAACCTCACCCTCCTTTGCTGAGATTATAGACACACGACTCCCACAAGGTATGTCTCTAACAGGCCCGGGGGTGACTGTTACAAAGACTGACTTTCCCTGACAGTGATTGTAAAAGAGAACCTCCAAATGTTGGCATTGGCAGTAGTGACGGAATAAGCATGTCATAGTTATGGATTTGCTCCTTGGCACTATAGAAGGAAATGTCACATTCTTTTAATTTTAAAAATAAAAATGAAATCAGACTCACCTCCCATCTACCAGAGTTGGAAGGTATGGAAAACTGTTTTTGCCAGTTTGAATATTCACAATTACTTGTTCTCGTTGGTAGCTATCATAGTTTTCAACAGTTAAGGTAGGTGAAAGCCATAACCACACCCTCTCCTTACAATGAATGTGACTTTCTGGCTGGATTCTTATACACACACACACACACACACACACACACACACACACACACAGAAATTTACTGCCAAGCAGGTACAAACACTCTCATGAACTTGTTCTGCAGGTTTGGTGAAGTCCCAGATAATATGGTCATTCTATTTTTAATTCTTTGAGGAACTGCCACGGTGTTTTTCACAGTGACTGCGCCACTCTATGTGTGCCCTACAGTACACAGGGGTTCCAGTGTCTCCACATCCTTGCCAGCATTTGTTTTTTTCTGTTTAACACAATTAAGTCTTCCAGTTCATGAACATGGGAAATGTGTCTGTTTATTTATGTCTTCTTTAGTCTTTTTAGCACTGTTTTGTAGTTTCACTGTACAAGTCTTTCACCTGCTTGGTGAAGTTAATTTCTAAGTATTTTATTCTTTCTGAAGCTATTGTAAATGGAATTGTTTTTATATTTTTGTTTCCAGATTGTTCGTGATTCATGGATAGAAATACAACTGATCTTTGTGTGTTGATTTTGTATCTTGCTACTTTGCTAAATTCACTTATTAGTTCTAACAATTTTTGTGGAAACTTTAAGGTTTTCTACATATCAGATAATCTCATCTGTGAACAGAGGTAATCTTACTTCTTCCTTACCAATTTGGATGCCTTTTATTACTATTTTTCTTACCTGGTCTGGCTGGGACAATTCTGCCTGCACTCAGAATCACCTGGAGCACTTGTTAAGAATACAGGTTCTACGGATTCTCATCTCCAGAGACCCTGGTTCAAACAGGATTGGGGAAGGGCTCGGGAATCTATTTTTAATAAACACCCAGATGATGCTAATGCCACCATGCAGGATTGGATTCTCATTTGGGAAGCACTGGGGCAAAGCAAGGAGTGTTGGTATTTGTGTGGCTAGATATATGCACATATTTTTTAAAAAGACTTGATTTTTAAGAGAAGATAATTATTGTGAAGAGAACTCTTTGTAGTGTGAAGAACTAGCCAGTCAGTTCTACGCATCCAAATATCTACACGCTGTATTTTTTCAAAGAGGGCCAGGTATTAAGAAATTGTCGACTTCCACCAAGATGGAGGCATAGGTGGAGATGCCGTGCTTTCTCACACAACCAAGTTTAGAGACAACTAAATATTAGCAACAGAAAACAAAGCCAGAACACAGAAAATTGAACTTTTCAGAAGTCTCAAACAGACCAAAAATAGCTCAAGAAGATCTCAAAGCCCCAGAGCCTATAAATCTAAGTGATGAAGAAATAGCAAAACTCTCAGACGCAGTTTAAAACACTGGTGATCAGGATCCTCACAGAATTGGTTGATTATAGTCACAAATTAGAGAAACATATGAAGGCGAAACTATTTGAAATGAATGGAATTGCACAGGAAACCAATAGCAATGGAAAGGAAACTGGGACTCAAATCAATGGAGTGGACCAGAAGAAAGCAAATAATGGCCAAACAGAAAAGAGTGAAGAAGCAAGAATTCAAAAAAAATGAGGAGAGTCTTAGGAACCTCCAGGACATCTTTA